CAACAACGCAGTGTTCGAACGCCAGTATTTAGCTCGGGCCACCATGGCTTCCCTTATCTGGGGAGTTACAGGCTGCCAGGCGTGGAAGATTGCACCGCTTTGTAAACTTTTTCCACGGCAACACAATAGAACCACAATATTTCGGAAGACCAGGAAGACACCCAATCCCCAAGTTCCAATTAAACCTTAAAGTAGCCTTGGCTTGCTGCTTATGGTGGGTTGACCGGTAGGAAGTTGTTGTTGGACAATGTGGAAGCACTGAACTGGCCAATGCTTTGAAAAGTCGGATATTGGTTCAAGGTCGTTACAGCCGACGCTAGCAACATTGGCGTTCAATGCTAGATTATCAGCTGTACTTCACCATAATTCCTTGGCAAGCCCTGTTACGTGGCTTATCATTGGGCCCTAGGTGTTGCAAGAGTGCCCATAGGTAAGGCTTGTTTTTTTGGGGGCATTTGGCCAATTCTGCACCTCGGCTCCATCATCTGGTGCTGTTTTCCAGAACACCCTCTCCCCTCGCGTCCTGACATTCTACGAGTTTGGCTGCTAATATGAATCCGGTGGTGCTAATGTTTGTTCAGCAGGCCCAGGCGCGATTGGGCCAAATTACAGGTCTGTTTACAACCTATCCGCAGAAAAAGCATCGGTCCTATTGCCAAGATTACGATGCATGCGCACGAGTTGGCACTGAACAAAAAGCAGGGTGCATCCGTTAGCCCTAATTATTTGGTCTTCCGATACCCTTGGTGTTGGTGCGAATGCCAATGAGCGCGCCAGGCCAAATGGCCCTGGTCCAAACGCACAGCTAGAATGTGATGGTGATTTTTTTATGTATCATTGGCAGCCGACTTGGCCCGCATTGACTGCCCACGGTAAAGTGGTACGTGTTAACATTATTCAGGAGAAGGGCAATGTCTGTGTGTTCCACTCTGGGCGATAACAGAGTGCTGACCACTGGGCCAAACGGCCTATCGGAATTCTAGTGTTTCACGCCAGCCATTATCCTCTCCTTTATCCGCGCTGCTGACCTTGTCATCGTCGACCTGATAAGCAGGGCCCTGAGAGGCAACGGCTGACCTTGCACTCCAACCCCCAACACCGTGCCGATCGACGTTGCCCTTTATTGTGGCGGGATCCTGGCAAGCGAACAGGGTCTACTGGTTGCTCAGCGGCCAATCTCCCCGACTCCCACAGTACCAACTGGCACCGCCAGTGTGGCCTGACAAGTACCGAGGCCATCGGTGGTCGTGGCGGGTTACCATGAGCGTTGCATTGAGGTGGTCAGCATAACACCCCAGGTATCCATTTGCTTGGCGGGTCTTTGCTTGCCTACCTGCGCAATGGCAAAGGCAACTCTTGTCCTGACCCCTTTTCCGTCATTGTGTGTACTTTGGTGTGGGGAGCATACACCCTTGGCCAGCTAAGAAACAAGAATAAGCGAATAGCGACGGAGGAGGAAGAGGAAATGTCAGCTGCAGTCTGCACGGCGGAGGCATCACAGGGCCCCGGTGTCGGACTACGATGGCCAAGCTTGCATTAGTTGTGCTCGCCACGAAAGAGGTGGGCAGCGACGTGCAGGACTGGTGACGCAGCGGCCAATTAGACCCTGGGTGCCGTTTAGGGCGGGCGCGGGGTGTTGACCACCAAGGTCTCATAGCGTCCGCCCAGTAGGCGTGCCCGAGGTCAATGTTTACCGTCACACCCTCCGCTGTAGGCCACCTGAACAAAACCCAGTGGTTGTCTGGATGCTTGTTCCGCCATTGCACTTGTTCCTGGGCTTGCACCAATTCCAGGTTTGCCCACGCTGCTGACTATTATTTTCTCTCCCTCTCTCTTTCTCGTTGTAGCAAGGCTCAGTGAGGTCTGCGTGGTTCGCCCTGCATTGACCGTGATTATTTCCGAATTGCGGCCGCCATGTCGTTTGCTTCCATCCTCAACCAGGGCCGCACCCGGTCCTCCACCAGTGGGTCGCTTCCGGCTTCCCCACTGCACATCAACCCGCTGCGCACTTCCCCAAAGACGGAGAACGTCAAGGTGACGGTGCGCATGCGACCCCCCAGTTTCTACGAGCTGGAAACGTCCACCATTGCCCAGGTGTGGGACATTGACCCGTGCGACAACCGCATTGCCCTGAGTGACGAGTTTATTGAACGCACCCGTCGCCCACCGCTGGCATTCACCTTTGACCGCCTCGTCACGGGCAGCGACAATAGTGCAATCTACGACCGAAGCGTGCGAGACGTGGTCCAATCGGCCATGGACGGCTACAACGGCACAGTGTTTGCGTACGGCCAGACAGCGTCCGGTAAGACATACACAATGTCAGGCACCGCTGACGAGCCCGGCGTTATTCCTCAGACTATCGACGAGGTATTCAGCTGCATTCGGCACAGTGCCGGGCAGCGCGAATTCCTGTTGCGCGTCTCCTACCTTGAAATTTACAACGAGACTATTCGCGACCTTCTCAGCCCAGCCACCACTGACCTCAAGATTCACGACGATAAACGGCGAGGCGTGTACGTTAGCGGGCTACGGGAAGAAGTGGTCACATCGCCAGGCCAAATGGTGCGAATTCTTAAGCTGGGCGAGGCCAACCGCCATATCGGATCCACCGATTTTAACGAGCACAGCAGCCGATCGCATTCGCTGTTTCAGCTGGTTATCGAAAGCCGTGAATGCAGCCAATCGATGGGCGTAGGGCACCCTTTTCGCCTGCGTAGCAACAGCAATTCCTTTCAAGGCGACGGTGTCCGCATCTCTCAACTCAACCTCATTGATCTAGCCGGGTCGGAAAAGGCCTCGGGGTCAGCCGAACGACGCAAGGAAGGCGCGTTCATCAACAAGAGCTTGCTGACCTTGGGCACGGTCATTGCCAAGTTGACCGAAGACAAGGTGACCCATATCCCCTTTCGAGATTCGAAGCTCACACGCATCTTGCAGTCCTCCCTGTCGGGGCACGCACGCGTGTCGGTCATTTGCACGGTGAGCCCCGCTCAGATCAACTACGAGGAATCCATCAACACCTTAAAATTTGCGGCCCGCGTCAAGCGCGTAACGACCCGTGCCGAAACGTACCAGGTGCGCGATGACAAGGCGCTGCTGCAAAAGTACCGCACCGAGATCCTGGAGCTCAAGAACAAGCTCATGCAGGTAAACCAAAACCTGGACCGCGAAGGCGAACTGTCCCAATTGCGCAAAGAAAAGAAGAGATACGAGGAGGAGATTATGCAGATGCGGGTGGCGCGAGTGGCCCTAAAGGAACGCATCGATCACTTGACCAAGCTCATCTTGACATCGTCCTCGGTGGCCTCCAAGGCCATTATTGGAACGTCGCCCCAAACGCCTCGGACGTCTGTGGCTGGCGCTGCGGACCAGGCGCACGAACTGGCCCAGTGGCAACGTCGCAACGCAGTTCAGGCGGACGAAATTGCTCAACTCAAGCACCAACTGGCGCACCAGCCTCCACCGGTTATGTCCCCCACGCCTCCCCTGGATGTCGAGAGCACCCTCCAGTACCGCGAATTGCAGCAAACGGCGGCTGACCAGCAATCAACACTTGTGGCCTTGAAAGACCAACTTGCTCAGTCCCACGAGCTAATCCAATCGCTGCGTGGTCAACTAGGACAGCTAACCGTACGACCTGCCGTGAACGAGGCCGCCACCCAAACTTTAGCCCACGAATGCGATCAAGACCCGCCTGGTCAGCCAGCTTCCCCCAGCACTATCGCCACCTCACCAACACTGCGCGGTCAGTCGCCTCGAAAGTCGGATGAGCTCTCATTGTCACCACGTAGCCCTTCCCTTGCGCCTACCACCCGAGCCCAGTCCCCACCGCCCTGGTACTGCCCGATGGGGCGCCAGAGTCCCCTCTTTCAACGCTTTTACCCCACAAGCCCACCGATCCAAGTCAACACCGTCAGCGAGGCTCGTATCAAGGACCTCCAGAAACAGCTGGCCAACGAGAAGCAGTTGCACAAGAACAACATTTCGCAGTACCGGCAAAAAATCGCAGTGTTGGAAGCTGACGTGAATCTCTACAAAGGTAGATTGCAAACGCACATGGGATAGATTGGACTGGCTGATATGGGGTTTTCCCCTCTACCGCACGCCTATGTACTGGGGTTATTTTTTTTCGTTATGAAATCCGAAAACAAAAGTTTGGTTATTTAGGTATTTTACAGGCGTGGGGTTTACAGCCACTGATTGTACTTATACATTTATCCTGTACCAGACTCTGTCTATTTCAGCGATTGAACCAAATGGTGCAAAGGATGGTGTGCTGTCGGATACAACAAACGGCCAGGGTGTGCCTATATGAAGGCAGTGTCCCACATGCCTTTAAGTCTTACATTTGTCAACTGCCCCTCGTTGGATAGCAGCACTGCCTTTATTTTCTCTTAATACATACCGCCACTGCATTTGATTGTAAGGCACTGACATATATATACCCACACCCTGCTCTGCATATGTTTGTGGCATATGCTGCCTCTGGGACGCGCAATTAGGTGAGATTGACCACTTGAAGCAAAAGCTCTACCACGCTTAACCGCATTCCATTCTACTGTACGATATACGCAGGCCAGATCCCTCTTATTAATCGACGTAGTGGCGTGCATAATATCCCTATCAACTATTTTTTTTCTTATGACCCTTGGCACCACTCACCATCATTGCATTGCATTATTTACTATGGCATTTTTGGATACATCTAACTACTTGGCCTCGAATGCCACTGAAGCTAATGGGTCGCTTCACTATTGACATCAACGACATACTGTCACTGATATTATTGCTGGCATTGCGTTCATAGTCACCAATCATTTTATGATGTGACATGTATTTCTAATCATGTATAAAATACTCCCCCTCCTCCCCCCCCATACAATGCCGTCACCAAAAATCAATGACGATAAAGAATGTCAGCATATGCGTGGTAAAAATTGTTTTCAATAATTTCAATTGCATTAAGTATATTAGAAAACGGTAAAAATTCAGCTGTTGCCTGCTTGGCCAAGGGGTAAGGCGTCTGTCTTGTAAACAGAAGATCGGTGGTTCAAATCCGCCAGTGGGCAATTTTTTTTTGGCTTCCACTTTTACATTGAACGAGCGAAACTTTTTATCCTCAATAATTTTGGTCCGTTACTGCTTGCCAATGAGGATGCGAACGCCTTTACAATTTTGGGTGACAGGCCTGGATGTGACGGATGACGGCCATCATTGTTTTATTTGCCAGAAAGGCCACACGCCACGTCATGGTTTTTAAGCATAGTTCACGGCAGTAGCTGTCACTTTGCCCTTACTTTTTGTACGTCTGGCACCAGTGATGTCACTTGACGATTTTTAATATTTCTCCAGGCAAAAACTTTATTGACCGGAGCGGGTACTACGTCACAATAGGCCCGTGAAAGTTGAGCGAGCGCCTCATGCATGTACCTGGTTCCTCAGCAACCCTGCAGCATGACGTGGGTAGTTATGGTGCCGTGGGAAGGATTGATATGCGTGACATCAGCTACTGGTTTCTAGTTCCAATGCTGCGTTTCAAGCTGAGCAATGAGATCATTGTACCTCCTCCCTGCACCATTTCCTCCTAGCCCTCGGGTAGTCATGACAAGGTGTCAGTGGCCGAGCAATGGGAGACGAATAGCCAAGCCCCGCGCCCCTGACCACCATGCTGGTTGGCCAATTTTGTTCTCTCAATTAGAGGCCTGGCGCGGCGGCCTGTCTAGAAAAGCCATCGGATACCCTATACTTGTAGAGAAAACACGGATAATGCCTGCCACATTTCTATCCAGTTCTTTGCAAAGAACGACAAAGTTTTTACTCTGTCAACGGGTGCCTAGAGCAAATGTCGATGACCATTCGGGTCACGCTAATATGTTAGCTAGCTGACGAATCCTCCCAATAACCGGCAAACCAAAGAGAGAAATGAGCAACTAGCTGATCAGTATATTTGACCGTTTTCATTGCATCTACACCGACTATCACCTTTTTGTTCACGCCACAAGGACATAAAGCAACGGTTTAGTGAGATCGGTCAGATTGGACATGATCGCCATTGGCTCTTTTGGGGCGCAAGGTACAGCGTGACTAGAAAAAAACAAAGAAACTATTGGCCAATGAAACCGTAGTTGGCGGCATTCGTTAGCTGATTGAGGAGCAGATTCTGCACCGTGTCTCGAGTAACCCATTTGACGGACGTTGCAAAAAATTATTAGAGTGACTTTAATTGTCAACCACTCAGCTTACTTCTTGCTTTCATTCGTTCTTTTTTCGTTGACATGGCCCTGCACATCCACTGTCATCACAAACAATGTAGGCGGGAAACGGGACCGGTGGACGTTCTGCTATCTCTCGTTCTCTGACTTGGTGCGTGCATTGCGCTGTATGGTGGCGAAGCACTGGCTACACGTGGTACCTTGGCAGCACCCTGGTCAAGCTTGGTGGTGTCACGTTGGACCTGCACTGGCACCCAAATCGTGCATCTGGGAGGTGACAATGGGCCACATGGGCGGAAAAAGGCGGAAAATGACACCTTGCCTACTGCAGCCCATGCTGGCCATATGCTGCTCTCACGATACATTTTGTGGGACCATAGAACTGTGGCAGATCGCTAAGCCGATGAGTACAACTAGTGCACAAGAGAAAGGTATGCATGAATGCCCTGGTTGACGTGCTTTTGACCACAAAGCGCACTTGTATGCTCTTTTACTATACCGGAAAACGTGCGTATGATGTTTTTAGCTATCAGCGGGATTGGCTGTCAGTCTGCCAGTGTTTTTTTTGGCACAGAGGGTATGTGCTTTTTGCCGGGGCGTCAAAGCGGAGAACAAAGCTCTACAAATAAATGGTGTGTTATATCTCTTGGTGATCAAGTCTGGCCCTTGATAAAATGGCATTTATTGCAGCCACTAAAGAAAAGGCGAATAGCCAGCACGTGCAAGCTTAACGTCAAAAGAAGTCGCTGCAGTGGTAACCGTTCCCATTAGCCTGTGGCCTAGAGGATGCGATCGGCCAATTTTTATATCACTAGGCGCCTGAATCACCCGAGGCCATTGGTGAAGTTTAAAAAAAAGGAGCGATTGGCGATACCCTGATACGCGCCGGCATTGTCTTGCCTTGGTTTTTTTATCCTGTATATCTTTGTCACGCAGGCATGGATTGACTATGCACGACGCTATTTCGTAGTAGCCTTTGGCTTGGCTCATCAGGCTTCAGCAATGGCAGGGCACGCTGCGAGCTGCCATGCGCAGCATAGGTCAAGCGGGCGAGAAGCGATGGTAAAAGAAATAACCGGAGCAGCCTTGTCCGACATTGTCGCCCCATTGACCCAACGGTAAGGCGTACCCAGAGAATGAGGCACAAAAGGCATTTGTGTTCGAGGTGGTGACGGCTCTGTTCCCGTTATATTAAAATTGAACCAAGGGTTTTTCTTCTAGCTCTTCTCTCCTCCTCCTCCCCCTGGTCTTTGTGTGCCGGTGGCAAAACTTGCAGCAGGATAAAGGGCCAAGTCCCCCTCTGGATAGCCTTGCCCGAGCGAATACGGGCAGAGCCCTATAATACCCATTTCGTCAGCTAGTGTTTTTCTTTGGTTTTTTTTTTTTG